AAGAAGAAGAAGAAGAAGAAGAAGAAGAAGAAGAAGAAGAAGAAGAAGAAGAAGAAGAAGAAGAAGACAGGGAGAGGGAAAGAGGGAAAGAGGAAGATGTCAGGGAAATGCCAGGGGTCATCCAGAAAGATAGACACAGAGAAAGCAGAAAACCAGGACATACAGGATGAAAAAAAGGTAAAAATCCCCAAGGCAATGCATAGAAACAGGTTAAATTAAGTTATAAGAGCTAGTGGGACAAGCATAAGCTAAGCCAAACTTTCATAATTAACAAGAATCCTCCATGTCTTTATTCGGGAGCTGGTTGGCGGCCTAAAGAAAATGCCAACTACAATGAGCTGGTGCCCAGCGACACCAAGGGTAGTGGAAGGCTGAGCTCAGGTCTTTCTGTTCTGGACCCGAGTTCTCACCAAACTCCATAGGATCTGAGGGCCAAACAACGTAAATGGGATGAGCCAGGCATGGTGGCGCATACTTACGGTCCTAGCTACTTAGAAAATGGAAGCAGAAGGATGCTTGTTTAACAATGATCCTACCTCAGGAAAAAATAAATTGGCTGAGGTAAATGTTATATAGCCTGTATCCTAACAAGACTGATTAGGGGTCCCTTTCTCTCCACTGGAGTCTTCAAGTGGATGAGTCTTTCCTGCGTCCCCTTTTCTCAGACTGCCCGGAAAAGACGAAGCCTGTATGGTGTTTATGGTGTTCTCTCTATAGACCAACCCCTTCATTTTCTTTTGGTGTTCTATTCCCAGGGTCTCGTGTGGGGTGGCAGGAATTTGAGCGTGGTTATGCTGCCGATCTGCTACTTCCAACATTAGACCTTCCTGCCAAGAGAAACTTATCATAATGTGGTTGGCACATGCCCACAGGCTCTAGAGCTGACATCTGTCATCTCTGCCACATGCCCCCACCCTTGTTACCTTTCTATTGGCTTCTTCACAGCCTACCCTCTGTTGTCTCCTCAGTTCTCCTGGCAGGACATTGTCACAGCACGCTGTGGACATGAATCACCTTGCCCTTCAAGGGTGCCCTCCTGTAACTCAGCCCCAGCACTCCCAACAGGGCTTATCAGACATCCACAGAGAGGCCAGGTGTCTCTGAGCAGGACCCACCTCTCCCATGATCTCAGAAAACCAGGAGACACCCAACTCCGTTGTCATTTGTCGGATGAAAGCAAACAAGGTGCCATGAAGCAGCAATCTGGACATGGAGGTGTGTGGATTCTGCCACCCCTCTGAGGGGGGAGTAGGAAGAGAGGTCAGCCCCCCAAGAGTACTAAGGAGGAAGGAAGAGCTGAGGGGGAGCAGGATCTTTCCTCTTCCCTCACCCTGCCCTGGGTAAAGCCAGAGCCACCCTCAGCTGAGTTCACTGGGCTCTCTCAGGCTTGTCTCAGGTTTGTCCAGGTAGGTTCGTGGATGGGACAGGAAGACCATGAAGGCAAGAGGTTTGCCACGCCTGAAAACCACTCTGGGATGGAGAAGGATGCATGGGCACCAGATCCTCCAAGTCCACCCTCTCTGATCGCTGAATAGCTTCTGTTGCTTCTGCTTTGCCTTTGTGAGGGAGCACCATTGGGTCAGCATCTGTGGCTTAACCCAGGGCTTAACTAGGCAGGAGCCAGCCATCAAGCTACATGGTGCTGCTCTCCTGGAGAAGGAGACAGCCTGTGCAGTAGGGGACACAAAGACAGAGACAGAGCCCATCCAATATGGGCACAGAAGCCAAGCCAGAGCCAGAGATGGGAGGAGATAGAGCGGGTGTGGTGTGAGTCCTACAACCAGAGCTACAAGGAAGAAGCAAGAGAGGTGGGGAAGAGCACAGCAGATAGAGACGAAGAAGGAAAGAGATGACTGAAGAAGAGAGGAGAGAACAAAAGGAAAACAGACAAGAGAAGAAAGGAGTAGACAGAGGAGGGCAGAAGAAAAAGTCAGGGAGAGATGATGTGGGAGGAAGACTCCATGTAGTCAGTAACTGCCGGAGCACACAGGAACAGAGGGTGAATGAACACAATGTATCATCTCACCCCAGAGTGGGACCCTTATAAAACCACGGAAGAGGGCTGTGGGCTCAGCTGGGCCAACACTGACTAAAAGTCCTGGCTTCCCCAAGGCCCAGGCCTGACTCATTAGTCTATCTCTGCTCCTCCCCGCCTCTGCTGTGGGCCCCTGAACACCCCCTTCCCCGGTTTTCTGTCTCTTCAGAAGCCCCTCTCCATGTCCCTCTGCCTCCAGAACTCTGGGCCAGGTCTCTCCCCTAGATGGTGGAAGTAGGTGCTGGAAGCAAGGCTCTGTGGGGGAGGCAGGAAAGGAAGTGGGGGCTGGGGGAGGGAAGGGCTCTGCCCAGTCAAGCACAATGGCCTAGTTTTCAATCCTCTACTCAGGTGACACATAGCCTGCCAGCTCACCGGTTCACTGGCTCGGGGACTGTGGCTAAGAGCTTCAGTAATGAGCCAAGAGTCTGAGACCAGGAGCAGTCCAGGAGAAGCAGTCGGGTGAAACGTGGCTCCCAACCCAAGACAGGAGTGGGAGGATGGCCATGGAGCCAGAGCGCCTCTCGTTCAGCATCTTCTAGCCTGTTCTGAGAGCCCTGAGCTGGGATGGAGAAGGTGTTAGCTAAATGCAGCTCTCTGGGCCCCGTCCAAATCCAGTGACTCACAATGTTGGAGGCCGGCATAGGAACCTGCATTCTTTATCAGCTCTCTGAGTGATGTTTAAGATGTGGAAACCAGGGGTGGAGTCGAAGCAAAGGGTAGGGGAAGCTCAGCCCATTCATTGGAAGCTTTTGCAGTGGGAGACTAGCCATCACTAAGCCCCAGGGAGCTGCCTTTCCAGGGAGCGGTGCCTTTGTCCTCCCAGGCTATCAGGGCTACTCTGTGTGGGGAAGTAAGAGACAGAGAGGGGCTGGGACTATGGATAGACACAGCACCTCCCACTCTTCACCCACCTCCCTGGGATGCACGTCGGGACATCAGAGGTTTATTTTTTATTTTTATTTTAATTTATTTTTATGTGCATGAGTATTTTGCCTGCATGTAAGGGCAAAATGTATTTATGCAATTCCCTCAGAAGTCAGAAGAGGGCATCAGATCCCCCTGGAGCTGGAGTTATTGGCTGTTGCCAGCTGCCACATGGGTGCTGGAAACTAAACCCAGGTCTTGCGCAAGAGCAGTCAGTGCTCTTAACTAGGGCATCAGTGTTTGATAGCAGGTACAGTTCCCGGACACTGACATCCTGGAGAGAAATCCTAACGTTTTCTGGCTACAGAACCCCAGCTGGAAGGTGAAAGAAAGAGTTGAGACATGGAAAAGCCCTCCCTCTTCCATAATAGTCACTTCTTATACAGCTGTGGGTGAGCCAAGGCCGACTCCTAGGACCTGCCCCACCCTCCTCTCAACCCTGGTATTCTCTAAGCTGGGCACAGAAGCAGGGTGAGCTCACAGCCCACCTGTGACGGCACCACGGATGTCCCCAACAGTGTCAGACAAGGACGTAGCTCTCTGACTGACTTGGAATTCATCTCCCTGTGACGAGCAGTGGCTACTCCACTCCTGGTGAGGTCTGTGTCCTCCTGGGGAAGGCGACGAGGTGGCGGACTGTGCTGTCTCCCTGCAGTGTGCTCCGGTAGACAGCCATTTCAGGATTGTCACCTGTGACCCTAACGACATGGGTTCTTCAGTATAGATTTCGGCTGGCGTCTCTGCACCCTGAACCGTCCTTGTTTTCTTTCTCCATACTTCTATTCTGTAGCATCTGCTAGAGCTTAAAATTCCCCTCCTCATCCTACTTGGTCACCCGGAATCCCTAAAGGGAGCAGACTGTTGACCACTTTACCAAATCTCCCTGCTGCTGGGACCCGGAGCAGGTAACCTCTCAGCACTGTGCCCCGACACTCTTTTGGGGCCTTCTCATCTCCCAGTTTTACACACAGCGTCTCTTGGGCCCCCTGGCTGCTTGTCTTGTGCTGCCACAACTAGGAGAGGAGATTTTCCCAGTTCCGGGGAGCCTCTTTCTTGTGGGGCTTCCCCGTGTGATGTACAGCTCCAGGACCCCAAGCATCCATCAGTCAGGAGGCTCCCTCTGGACCCCTGCGTTGTGCGGGTTACTTTAGGGCTTGTTACACGTTCAGTGTGAGACAGTTCCCACAATCCTATGTGCCTGAGCACCTGGGTCCAATCTGGTGACACTGTTTTTATGGGACCCTTGGAGCCCAGGACCTAGCTGGCAGATATAAGCCCCTCGGCAACATGCTTCTGGTTCCCTTGTTACTTCCTGATCTCCCAGGAAGTGAGGAGCTGTTGTCTCACACCCGTGCTGCTGTGCATGGACCTGCCCCAGTCGCTGTGCCTTCCCAGCTTTGATGGGCTGCACCCCAGAAACCAGGAACTAAAGTAAACTTCTCTCCCTTAAGTT